GGGCTCCATCCTTGATACTGGGCTGTCTCGGGGAGGGCAGAGGCAGCAGGACCAGGCAGAGCCACAGTGTGCCCTGCTGTCATCTCTGCCTTTGCCCAGTGCACAGAATCCCCTCCCAAAATCTGGGACTTGCTCCTTTCCTTCCCAGCAGTGTCCCATCTGCTTCCCAGTGGCTCTAGATCACACCCCAGTCCCTGCTGCCAGTGCTGGCTGGGCTGCAAGTTGGGGAGTGAAAATTGCCTTCAGCAAAACTTTAAAAAATATGCAAGAAGTCATTTTAGGGCACACTTCATACCATGAACTCCTTCAGGAGAAGGACACACAGATCTGTGTGCAGACAAGTCCTGTGGGAGCTTGGGTCCCCAGGGTTTTGACTGACACACGTGTTTCCTTGGGTGCGTTGCTGTAGTTGTTCCTGGGTGTGTTCGTACCCCCCAGGAAGGAAGGTGAGTCCACCTCGTGCTGAGGTTGAGCTGGTTTGAATTGCTTGTATTTATTGCAGGGTTGGCCTGTCCCCAGCAAATACAGGCTCTGCAAACTGTCTGAGGCTGGAGGATGTGCTTCCAGCTCTGGGACAGAGGAGGATGAGGAGCAGGAGATCCTTTGTGCCTCTGCTTTTGGGTGCAGGGCTCCTCCATGGCAGCAGCAGCAGCCAGGCAGCGTGTGCAGGGTGCTGAGGCCGTAACTGTGTCCCTGGGCGAGGGTCTGTGTTCCCTCCTCAGCCATGAGATGCTACCAGAGCCGGGCTCAGCCTGGCAGGACAGGGTGGGCAGCTGGGCCACCAGTGTTGGAGATCTGCAACCCCCCATGACCTCCAGAAACATCTCATAATCAGATTTTTTTTTAACACATCAAATGATCAGACCCCCCAGCAGTGAGCTGCAGTGCTGCTGTGGGCCGGGTGGTTGCTCCCATGTCCTGCTGATGATGATTTCTGCCTGTCCCACGTGCAGCTCCCCTCTGAAGGAGGGTTTGTTCCCTTTGTGCTGTTCCTTTTCTAACCATGTCCTGTCCTCGCTTTGCTCTGCTTCATTC